ATGAACTTACGATACCTAATTTTGACCCATTTCTTTTTGTAATGAGTCCTAGTATTCATTTTGTTTTAAACAACTATCTGTAGAACTGTGTCACACCAGCTTTTCAGTCCTCAGCCGAGACCTCACTGTATTTGTGTGGAAGTTGGGCTATTTTTTCTAGCTGTAAATGTATGTAGTACAGCTTGCTACCTGTAGTACCACTGTATGAACAGTGATCTTTCGTGAGTCTTAATTCTTTTTTCCCAGGGCCCTGTCATGCCTGGCAGCCACTCTGTTGAACGGTTTGTGATAGAAGAGAACCTTCACTGCATCATCAAATCCCACTGGAAGGAGAGAAAGACTTGGTAAGAACAGCTTAGCACTATGGGGCCTTGGCACTTTTCATATGCTACCATGGATTTGGTGCCATCAGGGATATCCGGAGTCCTGCACTGGTTAGACAGGGGCTCAAGAGTAAACATTTTCTAGAACATTTGAGGAATCTTGATTTATTGCATTTAACTGTATTAAAAATGTTATCTGGAATATCCAATAATATCCAGGTAATGGAAAGTTTGTATGATGACAGTGACTGCTTGAGAAGGAGTTCCTTGACAATATAGGTTGTGCTGAAAAAGATATGCAGGCACACCTTATTCATGGGAGCACTGTGGAGAGTGTGGTTGTATTATGCTTCATGGAATTGTGAATCAGCTCATTTGTTGGGGCACAGCAAGGCTTGAGGTGGTGCCTTGCAGCTGACTGCACCGGTGTTTATGAACACACTTCTGCTTCCGACTCTTCCTGTTGCATTCATCTCTTTGGGGTTACACAGCAGACATAATTGAGCACTCTCTGGGGAGTCATTGCAGGGCCAGCAGATTTTGTTAGTTTGAATTCAGCTGCGCCAGGGAACGGTCAGGGCGCTTCATTTCTGCCTCAGCAGTATCTGATACGGGTAATCAATAACTGAGGTGATTTGCCACAGGTAATTGGCTGGGTTATGCTTCCAAATGAAAACCACCAAACTGCTTATAGTACGACAAAAAATGGGCAGAAACAATGTTTTTGGTGGTGGCATATGATAGTTTTTTTTGTTATAGCTGGCTGATTTGGCAGAAATGAGGAATTAAGGGTTGTTGAAGTTACTGGGATAGCCTTTGTTAGGTCTCAGAAGAGAGTAGAAGACTAGAAGAAGATGCAAGATTTGCCAGAGGTAGCAGTAAAATCAAGGAAGTAACATTTGTTTGCTTTGTAATAATGATAGGTGATAATGAGCTGATTAAAAAGGTGAATCACTTGAAGCCTGTGAGTTTCTTTTATAATCTATTAGCTTAATTGTGCTTTCAAGTCATTCAGAGCATCAGTTGTTTGGGGTTTTGGTTTTTTTTTTCTTTTTAATATATCCATGTCATAATTGCAGATCACCATGACAATGCAAAACTATTTTGCATAGCAGAACAGTGTTCAAGTGATGTAACTGCATAGAGATAAAATAAATCATTACAAGTCATACTTCAGGCGATGCTCATTGTGCTGCTTGCAGTGTTCTTGTGTTGCTTCTGTTTTAAGTGTTCTGTGGATTGATGAATAGACTTTGGAAGGATTGGGATTTGTGCTGCTTTTGTCTGAACTCTTGCCCAGAGTTATGCATTTTCTGTAACTGTTACTTCATCTTTACATCACATCGCTGTATTATGTTCCGAGCTAACTTTCTATCTATGGTTTTGCAGTGCTGCACAGCTGTTGAGCTATCCAGGCAATAACAAGATCCCCTTGAACTACCACATCGTAGAGGTATGGATTTTATACATAACCTCTTTTGTAGCTCAGTTATTTCACAAGTAGTGTGTCCCAGTTAGTTCCTTGATAAGTCCCTTAAATTACAGTTAGACTTGGGGGGAATCAACAGGACATTGTTGAAATTAATAAATGGCTTTTAAATGAGTGGGTTATATACAGTTGAAAGTTTGATGCTTTTTGTTGCAACTTTAACTCACTGCATGGGAGGTTTGGTCAAGTACAAGGCTGTGGCCTTTCTCAAACTTCTAAAGCTTTACATGTGATGGTTCTAATGTATGGTTCAGTCTAAGAGATGGCAAAATTTAATTCATTTTTAGTTAAAAAGAATATTAATTAAAATACAAGAGAAAATGGACACAAACTGAAATACATGAAACTCCATTTAAACATAGTGTTGTGGTTTAAGCCCAGCTGATAACTCAGCACCACGCAGCCGCTCGCTCACTCCCCCACTTCTTTCCCCCCAGCCCCTGGAGGGATGGGGAGGAGAATCAAAAGAATGTAAACCCTACGAGCAGTCCAGTAACTAAGGTATAATACAAAACCACTACTGCTACCACCAATGATAATAATGATAAGGGAAATAACAAGAGGGGAGGATACAATTGCTCACCACCCACCAATCGATACCCAGCCCGACCCGAGCAGTGATCTGGGCCTTCCGCATAACTCCCCCCAGTTTCTGTACTGGGCATGACGTGCTGTGGTATGGAATAGCCCTTTGGCCAGTTTGGGTCAGGTGTCCTGTCTCTGCTTCCTCCCGGCTTCTTGTGCCCCTCCTCATGGCAGAGCTTGAGACTGAAAAGTCCTTGATTGGGTTAAGCATTGCCTAGCAACAACTAAGACATTGGTGTATTGTTCTTATACTAAAGCCAAAGCACAGCACTGCACTAGCTACTAGGAAGGAGGAGAATAACTGTTACAGCTGAACCCAGGACACATAGGGAAAATCTTCTTTTACTGAGAAGATCATTAAACACTGGAAGAGTTTTCCTAGAGAAGTTGTGGAGGCTCTATCCTTTGAGAAGTTCAAAACTTAAGAGGACACAGCCCTGAGCAACCTGCTCTTGGTGGTGCTGCTTTAGGAAGGGGCTGTTGATTAAATGATTCCAGGCAGACTCAGCTGTTCTGCATGATTTTATGTTTGGATCTTCTAAATGATGTTGTTCTGCTAGCCCTGGAAAGACGTTGATGTGTGTCGTGGTTCAAACCCAGCCGGCAACTTGGAACCACGCAGCCGCTCGCTCACTCCCCCCCTTTTCCTTCCTCCCCCCGCTCCCGGAGGGATGGGGAGGAGAATCGAAGGAATGTAACTCCCACGAGTTGAGATAACAGCTCTCCAGTAACTAAGGTATAATACAAACCACTACTGCTACCAGTAATAATGATAAGAGGAATAACAAGGGAAAAGGACACAACCGCTCACCACCCGCCGACCGATACCCAGCCCGACCCGAGCAGCGATCTGGGCCTTCCGGGTAACTCTCCCCAGTTTATATACTGGGCATGACGTGCTGTGGTATGGAATACCCCTTTGGCCAGTTTGGGTCAGGTGTCCTGCCTCTGCTTCCTCCTGGCTTCCCCTCCTCTCTGGCAAAGCATGAGACTGAGAAAGTCCTTGGTCAGAGTAAACATTACTTAGCAACAACTAAAAACATCGGTGTTATCAGCGTTGTTCCCAGACTGAAAGTCAAAAACACAGCACTGCACCAGCTACTAAGAAGGAGAAAAAATGACTGCTGTAGCTGAACCCAGGACAATGTGAAATCGTGGTGTTTCCTCTGGGGCATCTTCCATGTTAGAGAATTTTAAATACCTGTAATGTGTATCAGAATTGCAGCATAGGTTTTCTTTTGCTGCCTCCTTTGAAGGGGCCTGTTTTCAACATGCAGAGCTGTACAAGATTTCATTAATTTCCATCAAAAGTTAACGGGATAAGAGATTTCAGTTATAATGACAACTTGTCATATAAAGGCTTTTTGAAGAAGTAACTAAGTAGGTATTTCAGAGCTAATTATAACAAGAAATAACCTTATGTGGAAGATTTATCTTGATAAAAGTGGAATTGAGAATTCCTCTTGGCACCAAAATGTCAAATATTCTGAATGCTGTAAAGTTTTGTTACCTTGGATCAACTTGTTCTTTTTGTGCTTTCAGAGCACAGGAATCTTAAAATTAACAAAAATTTTCTGCTTAAAGATAGAGGTATATTCACTGGTCTTATCTTCAGTATCTTAAGATGCTGTATATGCCTATGTGGCTATGTGCTTTATGCTCAGCTGTACACTAATGCCAACAAACAGTTACTGCAGTTCCTGATGAAATAAATTACCTAGATGCCTTGGAAATTCTTTAGAAACTTGAAGGTTTGTGTAGGTGAAATTACTGTAAAGAAGGGCAAGATGGTCTCTGCCCATGGCAGGGGCGTTGGAACTGGATGATCTTAAAGTCCTTTCCAACCCAAACTTTTCTGTGATTCTATGATTCTGTGGCTGTACAAGTTCTTTGACTATTATTGCAATGATTTCCCTTTTCTTGTAATTTTGAGGTAATTTAGAATATTAATTTCATTACTTGTCTATGACTGCTTAATTTTAATGAAGCTCCAGAGTTTTTTAGGCTTAGCATGCTTTTTTCAGGCTTCTGTTCATGTTACCGCTCCCTTGTAAGGTCTCTCTTGACAGTCACATTGGTGATACACTGCTTTCAACAAGAGTTTATCAGTTTAATCTGGAATTCCACAAACTTTTCAGTAAGTCTGTAGAACTGTGGAAACAATATGGTCTAACAAATAAAGGGAAGTGTTACTTAAGGTTCAGAACATACCGCTTAAGTAGAAGTAAATGTAGCCTGAAAGTGGTTGTCAGTACCTTCCCAAGCGTGCCTGCTTTTGGGGTCCCTGAGGCTCCACGTTGTAGTTTGTCAAGCTGAGCACAGAATGCTCCGTGCTACCCAGAATCTGTGCAAAACACTGAAATGTGGTACCTTTCTCTCAGTTGCTTCTTATTGAATGGAACATGGGTATTTCTTAGTAGCTGTGAACAAAGAATGCCTGGGCAGCACCATTGGTTTGTTGTGCTCCTACAGCTTTTGGTACAACTTGCAGTTGTCAGAGCTCAGACATTCAGCTCATCAGTGTTCTGGTCTTTCTTTGGCCTTGTTATTTTCACAAAGTATGGTGTGCCAGTTTGAAACAATCTGAACATTTGATAATGAACATGTGATGAATATCATAAATACACTTTTATGCAGTATCTCAACAGATAATGACTGCTCAACCAGTTGTTATTTCCTATCTTGAGAAAAGGAGCAGGTTTTTACCTAGTATTCTACTTAAGAGGGCCTCCCCTATTTGTCTTAACAGTATGTCCAAGTAATACTGTCATGGAAAGGTTCTCCAGCTTCTTATAGTCTCTTCATGCTTGTAAGTCCTTCCTTAAAATAACAAGTTCTAGTCAATGTGTTTTTCATGTGCTGTTTGTGGAGTCTATAAATGCCAAGTAATACTGTCATGGAAAGGTTCTTCAGCTTCTTATAGTCTCTTCATGCTTGTAAGTCCTTCCTTAAAATAACAAGTTCCATTCAATGTGTTTTCATGTGCTGTTTGTGGAGTCTATAAATGGATGTTGATTTCTTATAGTAAGATCTTCTAAAGCTTATTTATTTAAGCTTCATTTCTTCTGTGTTTATTTAGAAGTTTAAGGAGGAAATTGACCAACCATAATGGAATCGTTTGTTGTATTTTAAATCTAGTTAAGAATGGCATGCGAAATAAGATGAACTCAGAGACTGATGTTGTACAATGATATTGAGGGCTAATTCCGTAGCCCTCAAAGATTGGCATGCTGTTATTACAGGCAAACTTGAAAATAAAACCACGAATGCTGACTGCAGGATTGTTTTCAGTTTTCTTAGAAGGATCCTCTACCAAGGGGTACCGAGCATAAATTTTTGTTGCGTGAGATGCTGGTTGTAGTTTACAGTTGAGAGTTGTGGCTTTACTTATGTAAGGTTTTTGTGTAGGAGAAAAGAGAATATGATGGAAAAGATAGAGATGTAATTTTAATGTAAATAGTCTTTCATAGTACATGCTTAGCTTCATTTGATATGTTTATTACTTACTGAGATCAAGACGATTTCTGCTTTTCTCAGACCATGGTAGCACTGCAGTAGGTAATATTATAAATATGCCCATTTCTACAGTTACATGGTGTATTTGTTAGACATATGAATAATGCTGCTGGTGTGTTAGTATGAAATGATAAGGGCTGTTAGAGTCGATGGTGTTAGTACAGTGAAGGGTTACCATTGTGTTGACAAGTTTCTCTCCCTTCTTCCTGGAACATGCATTTGACAGGATATTTTTGGGGTATTTAGTTGTTTAAGATAGATGGCCAAAGTTGATGATTGTGCAGGCCATGTTGGGCCACGCTCTCATTCTGTGCCTTCCTCTCCTACAGGTAATATTTGCAGAGTTGTTTCAGCTTCCATCTCCACCACACATTGAAGTCATGTACACAACGCTCCTGATTGAACTCTGCAAGCTTCAGCCTGGCTCCTTGCCACAAGTTGTATCCTTTCTGTGCTGCTGAAGAGCATTTATAAAATGCAGTTTTTATTTTGTTTGTTCTGTAGATAGTGGGATAGCAACAAATACTGGCAGTGTTAGTATTTTACAGCAGGAGCATAAAACTCTGCCTATAACACCCATGTGAAAGAACAGCATGTCCCACTTAGCATAGGACTAGACTTGCCAAGCGGGCAAGACTCTTCAGCTTTCTGGATGGTGTTCTGGTACTTCTTCTGACATTCCCAAGAACTGCTGTCTTGGTGAGGGCATAAAATACAAAACTCCTGTTCGTCACTGCAGCCTAGATAAGTCTGGGCAATGTATGGCACAGTCACAGACACATTAAAGGCTCAGAAAGAAAGTAAATGACTGGCTTGATGTTTTGTTCTAAAAATTGTGTGAGTATTCCTCTCTCAGAGGCCAAATGCTGAGGAAGGAGGCATGACTCCCATCTAATTCTGGCTATTACATTGTCCCTACTTTGCTGCCATTTAGATCATGTTCGATCATTGTCTTGGATCAAGTGACAGGCTGAGAATGGAGGGCAGTTAACACATGTTTGTCTACTGGTAATTTCATGCCCAAATTTCATTCTACTTCATGATACCACTCACAAAATCTCAATGATTAGAGCTAAGTCGCTTTGTAGAATTGGGCAGACAACCATGCAGAAAGTTTTTTATGTTAATAGCGACACCGTAAGGAGGATAAAGGCCTTGTTGGGTAAAGTGAGTGTAGACGTACTCTCTCAAGCCTTCAGCGGGGATCACAGATTGCATGTGGAAAAGCAGCAGCAGCAGCCTATGAAGGTGAGATCACAGAACTACTCCATAAGGCTGTTGGTGTTTTTTCATATCTGCATTTTTGCTTGTTGTGTGGTGCAAATTCTGGCCTTCTGTGGAAGAAGACGACAGTCTTGTTGCAATAATGGAAGAAAAGCAGACTGGGGTTATCATAATATGCTGCTCCCACCACTGAGGATTTACTGTGATTTACCTGATTTTGGTGTTGACCAAGGGACCTTTCAGTAAAAAAAAAAAAAGAAAGATAACATTCTATTAAAAAAGTGAAAGGAACAACATCTGTCTTATCTAGTTCTTTTCTGTGAACCTTAATAAGAAACTTCCAGCTTGCACAGGCTACTGAAATGCTGTACATGCGTTTGGATACAATGAATACAACATGTGTGGACAGGTAAATGTGTTTGGGAGACAAGGTAGTCAGAAATCCTTGTTAGAACTTACTGGTGCTATTCAAAATGCTTTCTGGGCTCTAGCTTTGAGAAATCTGAAGAGAAGGGTGAAGGACTGACTGTTTGCCACTTCCTCCCAGCAGCACACCCCCAGAGGTCACAAGTCTAGCTGTCTGTACAGGACAGTTGAGATTAGTGACACCTTCTCTGTGTTCAAGGTTGTTCATAGTCCCATAGTACTCCTATGTAGTACTATGCCTGCTCCTTACTGATCTCGGAGGAGGTTTGGAGTGCAGTTAATGGTGTATTTGCCACCAGAAGAGGAGAGTAGTGATGATTTTTTGCTTTAAGTGAGGTCTGCATTGTGTAGGAGGGCTGTTAACTACTCACCCAAAAAGCTGAAGCAGCATATTCACAGTAAGTTTACGTTTTAATTGTTAGTTTAATAGGTCGTATCTTTGTATGATCAGGACACGACAGGCTATTTACTCATAAAAGCTTCTTTCTGACTCTCTGAACCCAGTCTTTTGATTGTCAACATAAATGCTTGTTTAATGCTGTAATAGCTTTAGAGTTTATATTTACCTTTGAAAAGTAGAATGCATTTGTAAGAAAATCTCAACAGGTTTTCCTGCTCTTCTGATGTTTAATGGAGCTTTCTTTTTCTTTTAATAAAGATTTATTAACTGGTTTTCTCACCACTTGAGCAACTTTCAGTTCCGTTGGAGCTGGGAAGATTGGTAAGTTTCTCTCCTTTTGATTCGAACCTGATACTGCAAAAACCTTAAAATTACATGCTTATTCAGGAAGTATCACAGCGTAGTGGCCCTATTAATTGCTTTCCTACAGCTCTTCAACAGATACCTTTCTTAATCTGTTCACCACCACTCAGTGGTAGATTATCTTGATAATCTCTTTAGTCACTGTATTGTCCCTGGTAAACTTTGTGGTAAATTGTGTAAATGTTCACTAAATAGGGGAAGCAGTAATGTTATTTCTTTACTTTGTCCCACACCCTTAGTCAGTTGCTGGCATATTTTCTAAAATGACTCCCCAGTTTACTTTCAATAGTTTGCCCTGACTCGTTTCCTATATTCATACTGTAATCTTGCTCCCTGTCCTACCCTAAACCTTCATTATAACCTTTATCCTTGAGACCTTGTGATCTCTCTCCCTCCTGCCAAATCCTAGCACCTGAAGTTCTGTCAGAGCTGGCCCTACCATCCATTCTTACCATGCCAAATCATGAACTTGCATCTCTAGCAGGAGCTCCCTGGACTCCATCAGTGTCTAACCAGAGGTTCCCCTGAGCTTTCCATTCCAGGCACCATGTAGAAAGAGACATCACCTCGGAGTTAAGTCCTCCCTACTTAACTTCCACAGCCTGCTACCATTCATGCTTTCTGTAGCTGATCTGCCAGTGTCCTGGTGGAGGGGGAGTGCAACTCTTTTTGTGATAACATTTTTGTGGCTTTACTTCAGTTTCTTGTGTTGTCCTCTTGTGGAGTTAAGTGCTTGCTGGCTGTCCTAGTATACATTCATGCTGACTGACCAGGCAGCAGTCTTCAAAGAACTGAATTTTCTTTGCCTGGATGTTCCTTGATGGCAGTGCTTCTGTGGGTCTCGCTCACAAGCGGCCATATTGCACAGATCTCACAAGTGACTGTATTTGAGGCTTTTCTTCATCTGAAATGTGTTTGTAATCAGCCATAAGTTCAAAAATTCCTGTGAGGGAGGAAGAGAGTATGAAATCACATGAGGTTTCTTAAGGAGAGGGAAAGCCAGGTAACCATAAGCACAAATTATTTTTAATCTGGTCGGGGAAGGGAAGCTACCTGAAAATACATACCACAGACACAGAGATTTCAAGAATACTAATGGCCAATAAGAAAATAGTCATAAACTTACCTCATTGTCTTACAATTGCCTACGCTCTAAAACTGTCAAGCCCTGCAGTTGTCCTTAGATCATGATTGGTTTGTACCTATTAGAAAATTATTAGCCAAAAAGAAACTAAAGTAAAATTGTTTTATTAAAAGCTATTGCGTTCTGTCCTTTGATAGGTCAGATTGTCTTACTCAGGACCTTGAGAAGCCCAAACCCAAATTTGTGAGAGAGGTTTTGGAAAAATGCATGCGGTAAGTAAGATCTTTTGATAGTTGGATTCAAGGCAGTTTGATTTTTTTGTTTGTTTATTTCTGAATAGTGATAGGACAAGGGGGAAAGGGTTTGAACTTAAACAGGGGAAGTTTAGATTAGATACAATGAAGAAGTTCTTTACAGCGAGGGTGGTGAGGCACTGGAATGGGTTGCCCAAGGAAGTTGTGAATGCTCCATCCCTGTCAGTGTTGAAGGCCAGGTTGGACAGAGCCTTGGGCGACATGGTTTAGTGTGTGGTGTCCCTGCTCATGGCAGGGGGTTGGAACTGGATGATCTTAAGGTCCTTTCCAACCCAAACCATTCTATGATTCTATGTATCCTGTCAGATTCCTTTTAATTTGGCTTGTATTAGGCACATCTGTTCTTGCAATTCAGTTTCAGTTAGGAGGTGGGTGTGTTGCTGGTATGATTTTAATCTGGTTTACCTGCTGTAGGATGCTTAGGACAGTACTTCAGAGAGAGGAATTAACAGGTGGAGCAGACAATAGTGAGCTACATATTCAAGGTACGCACACCTGTGGTTACATAATGACATGCTTCACCATAGGCATGGAAAGAAATAGAGTTCAGGCAATGTTCCTGGAAAGTACTCAGCCTTTGCGGAAATGGAGGGAACAGATCATCAGTTCTACTAAAAACTGATAACTTGATTATTCTAGGTGCCTCTGATGTTCATTGACCTTAAAGAACCAACTCCCCTCCAAGCAAACAAAACAAACACCTGACACAGAACAAGAGTACACAATCAGGGATGGACTTAAAATCGTTGAGATAGAGTGATATAGGAAAGAGAGCAAAATGTTCAAAAAAACCTGTGTTGTTCAGCATCCTATATGAAAACATTCATCCTGTTTTCAGTTAATTCAGTATAGAAAGTGTGAAAGTCTTGTGCTTGCAAAAGCAAATGCATTTTTTCTGTGGCACTCTTCCATTAAAAACTCTGGTAGCAAAATTAAGCCTTCGTGGAAGTGAAATAAGCTGGAAAGTAAAATGAAGACGTCCAGTTTAGTATTTTTACTGCTTTGAATACCAATGCCTTACTAGTTTTCTGCATTGCATCTTCAACTTTTGCATAAAATATCCTACTAGGCAGCCTCTAAATCTTTTCACAACCTGAATTAACTGTATGAGGATGAAACTCCAGCGTCACAGACTTGAAATAGAAAGCATCTACTAGTAAGTTTGGTTTACCTAAGCTCCTGCTACCCAGCAGAAACTACCATTCTGTTACTGATCTATGAAAGTTAAATATAGGAAAAACATAACACAGTCACTTTAAAATTAGTCTTAGTGTTACTCCCATTTTAATTCTACTGCTGTGGAACTTGTTATTTGCAGACTGTCCTACCACCAGCGAATAATAGACATTGTTCCTGCAAGCTTTTCTGTCCTCAGTCCTGCTAATCCAGTGTGCATTTACAAATATGGAGATGAAAGTAATAGTAAGTATGAAAGTTACTGAGGGGTCAAGTTGAAAATAGTGTTTCAGAGCAAGGGAGTGCACTATGTTTACACTAATATCAGTTGTCATAAAGAGGGATACAGCTGAAATTAATATGCATGATTTCTGTATGCGTAAATATGCTTCACATGAGCAATTAATATATATTAAGCCTGAATCTCTGTAATGTAATCACCTTGGTTACTTCATGAAGAAAAGAAAATCCAGACACCTGAAGTTACTCTTGCTGAGGTGGCTGTGGTGGTATACAGCACGGTTTGTGAGAAGTCTAAAACAGTACTGTGCGAAAGTCAGCATATGAAGTGATAATGTGAGTTTATTTTTTGAACTTCATGAAACAGTAGAAGATTTTACCAGTGAACTTGGTTTAGTGAAGTATACAGAGGCAGCAGATGATGTAAAGCTTGAGGTAGAGAGATACCTTATTACTCCTTTTATTACTGAGTGAAAAGACAATCCTAAGTGTAAAAGTGTTATCATCAAAGATACAGTGAGAACAACCAAGGAAGTGTTGTATTTTTAGGGAATTCGTGGCATATGGAGTAGAGCTTTAGAGTGATTAGTTGAGCTCAGCTGTAAATACTCTGCTCAAGGTTATGTATTAAATGTGAATTAAATAGTGCAGACAAGGAAACGTGTTGAGTGATGTGGACAATGATACTCAACACAGCTAATCTTAGGTGTAGGTGGGAAGTGTACTTGTTTCTCTGAGGCGCAAGCTGATGTTAAAAATACTCGCTTGCCTTCTACATACTTTTGACCTCTTTGCTTTTGTTTAGGGTCTCTTCCTGGATATACTGTGGCGCTCTGTCTAACAATTGCAATTAAAAACAAGGCCAGTAATGATGAAATCTTCAGCATTTTAAAAGATGTGCCTAATCCAAACCAGGACGATGATGATGGTAAGATATACGCTGCTAGGCTTTGGCAGGTTGTAATTTGTTTTGTGTGTAGACTGCCATCCTTTGGGGAGTTATGTGTGTGGTGGTTAACAGAACTGTATGCTTTTCCTTCTAATAGTTGGTTTCAATTTATCTGTAAATGGAAATAATACACCATTGTTAGGGGGTTTTGTAAACATCTTGCATCCAGAGACAGGCCTGTTTTTCTTAACATAGGCAACATGATGCTTGAGGTGTGTTTTCTTGTGATCATTTACAGAGGTAGCATGAAAGAATTTAACACTTCCTTTGCCTTCAGCAACAGAGGACAGTTGATGCTGTTGTCACCACTCCTCAGATTCAGTGCTTGTACCCCATCCTGAGAGCTTCCCTCCCTTGGTGTAGACCCACAGTGGGTAAGATAGCCAACCTGCTGGCTGTGGCCTTCTGTGGCTATAAACTCATGATGGGACTCCACTCACGTTCTTTCTAGCTTTGCAGCTACAGACAGCACTGATTCCTAAAATGCATTTGTTTTAGGGAGTGAGAAGGGGAGTGCAAGACAGAGAATTAGGAAGTGACTGGAACAGGTTGCCCAAAGAAGTGGTAAATGCTCCATCCCTGGTAGTGTTCAAGGCCAGGTTGGATGGAGTCTTGGTCTAGCGGGAGGGGTCCCTTCCCATGGCAGGGGGATTAGAACTAGATGATCTTAAGTTCCTTTCCAATCCTAACTTATTCTATGATTCTGTGGTCTACACAATGGGGATGGCTTTGATATTTCTGTAATATTTGCGCATGTTCTGTCATACAAGCGGAAAGCAGCAACAATCTGGTTTTGGTTTGTTGTTTTTTTTTCCCCTGGGATCCACTGTCACGTTTCCTGATTTGCTTTAGGCATCACCCACCAAAGTGTGCTCTCCCTCCTGCCAGGTACCTTAGGCTATAGAAGGGGACTTGGCACCACTCACCCTAGTATCCATATTTGCTGTTCACACTTGCTGGACCCTTCTCCCCTGTCATGAAGTATCCAGCCTCTGTATTCTAATCATCCTCATCTTCCCCTCTCCTCATCCACTCTCCCTTTTTTATGGTCTGCCAGGCCTTCCGCTTGATGCATAACTCTGCGGTTTCCTTTCCTGTCTTTCTCTGCTGCTGTCCATCAGTGCTGTTATACCATGAGAGGCTAGCTGTGTCTCTGATGGTTTCTTCACTGTCCTGGAATTCTTTCTGTGCATTTTCTCCATGGCAAAATGGGAGTCTGAAGAACTGCACATTTTGGAAACTCTATACTAGCCTTTTGCTCAGGCTTGCAAAACCCTTTTGATGAAACTTTTTTGTAAAATGAGTTAAAACCATAAGTTATCTCTACAGCTAACTTACGCTTTTGTTGAAGTACTTAAAGTTTTAATTTTAAATCCTTGCAGATGAAGGATTTTCCTTCAACCCTCTGAAAATAGAAGTTTTTGTTCAGACTCTGCTCCATCTAGCTGCAAAGTCTTTCAGCCATTCCTTCAGTGCTCTGGCAAAGTAAGTGTAATATGTGCATTCTTTTGGGGCTGTTTAATTCTGACAGCATGATAAAAAACTGTAATGCAGGCTTCAGCAATGTTTTAGGTGCCTCCTCAATGCAATATGATTAGGAGAAGAATGATACTGCTTACTGAAGGAATGGTAGTATAACTCCTAAGTTGTAGATGTGAATGAAATCAACAGAAATGCGTACCTTACAGACACATGATGTAAATCAAACAAATAAGACAGGTTTGGAACATTACTTCATATTAGAATTACTCATTTGCTGATTATGGTGCGGAACAAGGGCTTATCCTTACATTCAAATAACTGGGTAGCTCCCACCACAATACCTTGTACTGTGAATATGACTCTAGAACAGTTATGTATGTATAAAAAGTGAAGAAAGAAAAAGGAAAACATGAAACTTCAAAGCAGTCTGCTGTAAACTTCTATCTACCAGAGCACAGAGAGTGCATCCCTTAAAGCATATCTTTAACTTAATTTACTGTGAGAATTTTGCTACCTTTTTTAGCAAAATGAGATAAAATAACTTGGTTTTAAGCCTCTGTGTTTTGGGGTTGCTTTTAAATGGCCTCAGTACATGACAGGTAGTCACGTGCATCTTAATTATTTTTCTGTCTGTCCTTAAAGATACGTAAAACTATTACAAAACCTGTACCTGGGAGCTTTATAGAGGAAATGTTGATAAAATGCTGTAGGTAGTAACCTTCAATCAGTAGTGTAAGAGGCAGGGTAATATGAATACTTAAAGCCACAGTATTTTCACTGTTGCATGCCAACAGTGGCAGCCGTGAGATCAAAAAGAGCCTCTTGCGCTTTGTATTACAGTAATCTGGGTTATGAATGCTGTGTAGCAGTCAGTGTAACTGCTAAAATAGAGGCTTTTAGAAGCATTTCCTTCAGAAAGAGGCAGACTGGATAAGTGTATAAAGTTACAGAAACACATATCAAGAGGAAGGTCTAAGGCTGAAAAGGCAGCAAATTTTGCTCCAGCTGTGTATAGATAAGCACAGAGAGCATGAAAGTGCCTCCTGCTTCTCAGAGTATCAGAAATGTAGCCCAGCCTCAGGGAGTAGGTTCACCACTAAGATTTATTTAAGTTGCCTTTAGGAGCAGAGCTGTCATGTCTTTGTAGCCTTTTGTAGCTCAGGATGGTTATATTTTCCAAGGAGCAGTTGTTCAAGAATTGCTGCAGATAGGCCAGAAGAATTTTTGTTTACTATCTGAACCACCTGGATTGTGTCTGCTGCTCTTCTGACCTAATCCCAAGCCCTCCACTGACTACTTCCATATATTAAAAGGTTTCATGAAGTCTTCAAAACGCTTGCTGAAAGTGATGAGGGCAAACTCCATGTTCTGAGGGTTGTATATGAGGTTTGGAAGAATCATCCACAGGTAAGAGGTCACAATGTCAAGAATCCTTTTAAGTTCCAACTCACAGTGGTCATATTTAATAAAAACCCTTATATTTTGCTTTATATCCTTTAAAATTAACTTGTCTATTGTCACTTTATTTGGAGGAAAGTTCAGATTTTATTTAAATTGTATTTACTGTTGTTGCTGGTGCCTGAAATGAAGGCTGGACATAAAATATAACCATCACTGAGGCCTCCTCATCCTCAGAGTTCATGGTGGGAGGGCAAAGGCTGTCATTCTAACTTGGATTTGTATTGCACTGTTTGTCATACGAGAGAATAGCTTCTGGTAAAGCCATGTTTCTGTTCAAGACTGAAAAACACTATAGATATGTAGATCAAATTAAGAATTAGATCTTACATCAAAAGTAGGAAACATTCTTAGAAATGTGGAAAGCTGGGGGGGTTTAGGGATTTTTTTTTTTTTTTTTTTTTTTTTTTTTTTTTTTTTTTTTTTTTTTGTCCTTTTAATTGCTGGTGAAAGCCATACAGTTATTCCACAAAGCTCATGTTGGAGTCACTGTTGTGTGTTAGCAGAGGGAGTGGAGCTGCAGTCATTGGCTGTTCAGAACAGATCAGTCTGACAGTGCCATGGTTATGTTCATTCTTGAGCCAGAGGAAATAATACCCTGAAATACTGATGAAAAATGCCTCGATTGTTTAAGCTGTTCAGTTTCTTCACAGCATTTGTTTTCTCCCTCAGCTGTCATTCTTCTATAAATAGAAATCGATAAGGAACTCAAGATGAATTTGCCTGCACTAATTATTTCATGTATTCCTTACTGGTGTGTTTGTATTGCGCTTTATTCTGCTTTAAAGTGGACTGTACCTCACAGATGCATAGTCCAGGCTTTTGGAGGCAATGCTTCTGAGGACAACAGGTAGTCCTTGCATCTGCTACTGGACCTATGACCCATTCCCTATGGGAAAACCTGGGCACCTAGAAGATAGCTATGTGAGATGTCACCTCTCTTCTAAGTACACTAAAAATATTGAAAAAGCAGGATTTTTTCAAATATATTAAACTTTCTGCCCAATTTTTTGACCTTGAAAATGTGACAGTTACAGTCTGACCTACTTTTTAGTGCCATTTAACTGGATCAGAAGAAATTACATTACTGCAATCAGATATCCATATCCTCTTCCTTTTTGTTCCTTTGTATTGCAGCATGACCAAACTGAGGTGGAGGTTTCTAATATGGATGTTTATCTGGGTTTGATTTTTTTGATTAAGTAAAGATAGTTTCAAAAATACCGAGTTCAAAAGTCGTGAAGGCTTTTCCACTTGATCATGGAACTTAAATTTTCCTCTCTTGCATTTATTGCAGTTCTATCTTTTGCTTCTGCTCAAGCCTTTTATTTTTTAGTCCACAATCTCCCTAGCACAGAGAAGTAATGGTGCCTGGACAGCAGGGCACTTGTCCAGAGTCCGTTTTCATGCTGCTCACCCTGCTGCCATGTCTGTGGGAATATCCTCTGATGTGGTTCAGAGTATCAGCTGTATTTACATGACATACAGTGCTAATGCGTGATCTATGCTGCAGATAGTGATTTAGCAATAGATAATTGGTAGTCCCTGGACCAGCAAGGTTGTGAGGGTGACTTCTTAAAGAGAAACTTTTAACACTGAAGTGTTTTCTCAAAATCCTGGGCCTGTGTGTCTTGGAAAACGAGGCTAGGTAATCAGAAAATCTTCCTGGCAATACAGAAAGAAAAATAGAGCATAGGATGCTATCCTGGGACTTGAAAGTTGAGTGCTGAGTCTTCTGTATGATTCATTCAGTTATTTTAATTTTCCTTCCTTAAAAGGAGCTTTGTTACACTTCCTTATTTGACAATGGGTGGTTGTAAGGATAAATACAGTGCAGGCTGTGGTTCTTAGATACCGTGGCATTCAATCCCATCAGTAACCAAGATAAGCCTTTTTTCTGAACAGCTTGCAACTGCTTTAGTCAGTAGCTCCCCTCTGCAGTAGCCTGCTAGATTGCTTGCAACCCCCAGCATCACGACAGTGCCTGTACCAAGTAAGAGCTTCCATTGACTGCACAGCGCTGGCTCTGTCCTGAAATGAGTGGGTCCTGTAGAGAAGAGCTTACTGTTACATTTGAAGGCTGTTGCACTTCAAGGAGAGCAGGCTAACAGTAGCTCCTTCGATACCATGATCTGACAGGTAGATATGCTCTGGTTTGAGTACTTTGATGTCAAGTACTAGGACTGTGTCTCTTAAGACCTCACTTCCCACTGATGCTTGTACTTTGCTTTTATATGGAAGTATGTGTGCTAACAAAATACGTTACTTTCACAAGAAGTAGAAGAGGTTGTTAGAATGCTTTATGTAAGCTAATATAGATTCCCTAATTTGAGCAGCTTTAGGCTAGACTAACCAGCTTCCTAAAGTATTTGAAATCACCCAGTAATACTACCTATGTAGAGTTGCATCAATCAGTCTCTGGTTTTATCAGAGGCTGGACTGTTTTACATAGATTGTGTCTGCAATGTCTTTCTCAAAATATAGATGATTGCTGTGCTTGTGGACAAGATGATTCGGACACAAATTGTTGACTGTGCTGCAGTAGCAAACTGGATCTTCTCTTCAGAGCTTGCACATGATTTCACTAGGTAACAAGAATTTGTCTTGGAGTGTTACTTGTCTCTGAATTACTATTTTAAGTGGCCAATACATAGTTCAGCCTGTGAAAGCTGAGCAATAGAAGGAAAAGGTACAATTAAAGATTTTGTTCCTTCTACAAAATACATACTTTAGCATTTTCCTTTCTGAGTTGGGATATGAATGTTTATGTGACAGTTCCAGGGTTGTTCTGCTTTGGCAGGCTTAGAGACTACTTGCAAAATCACATGCTAGCAACATTCTTGCACTATTTCTAGACAAAGTCTGTTGCTGTGTGTTACCTAGCTGCTAGCTTAGTGTGGTCCTGGTCTTTGGTGGAGGTGTGTAGCTTGTACCACGATTGAGAATGGCAGAATTTGGTGTTGGTAGTCTTGCAGCGTATGTATGAAATACAGTGCTGGCTTGGAATTGTACTGCAAAAAATGGATAAAGAAATTTCAGTTAAGCTTTTTTACATTGCACACATTCCTGTGTGTTGAGTGTTCGCTTAGTCTAGTAGATGTTTAAGTATCATCTGAATTTTTTAAATTCCCTCAGCTACATTCTCCTCTAAGAATCTACTTTCAATTTTCTTTCTCAGAGTTGGGTTTTAAGAGTAGTGTTTTGAGCTTTATGTCTTTCGTAGGTTTTATATCTGGGAGATCCTGCATTCCACAATTCGTAAGATGAATAAGCACGTTCTGAAGATTCACAAAGAACTGGAGGAGACTAAGGCAAGATTGGCCAGGCAGCACAAAAGAGTGAGTAATTTGTTTGTACGTTTGCATTATTTAAAACTCAGTTATACAAAACTGCCTGCTGTCAGACCGGTGCATGTAGTTGAGTTTGAGAAGGATTGAATATATATGTTTATCAGGAAGCATGTTGGCAGATGTGGTCACCTGTAGCCCTAAGACATCGAAAACTGCATGCATTTTCTGATGGTAGCAATAACCTGGTAAAATCTTTAGTGGAATTCATTTGCTCTGCTCAAGTGCTCTCTTGCAAGTGTCTCTTTCAATACAAGCATGTTTTCCACTTGCCTTATAATCTCGATTCCAATTACCCTATTAGATGACAATAAGAACAGTTACAAATAATAGTTGAAGAGTACTCTTATGGCTTCTATGCAGAAGTGCACTGAAATAGCTATTTGCTATTGAAAAGTTGGCTGTTCCTGTGCTTCCTATGGATGCTGCTGTATTCTGGCACTGGCAACTGTCTCTTCCTTCTTCCACCTTAATTTTCTGAATACCGTTGTGTGATCTGGGTTACTATATACAATAAATAGATGAGCAAGCAGCTGCTGTGGTGTACAGTTCTCCGAAGTGGGGCAGTAAAATGGGGTGAGAGAGCACCTTCTGTGGCAGCTGCAAAAGACAGGACTTAAGGAAGCTTGGCTGAATGCAGTGCTTAGTTGTGATAGAAGGAAGTCAGTTTACAAACATGTCGAGAGTTGCAGAGAGCAGGAGAGAATTTCCATGTTTGTATGTGGTCTGTGGGAATGGTTGCCCGCATAAACTCTTAGCTAGCTCCAGAACTTTGAACAAAGTTGATGGCACATGGCATTGAGGCTGGTGATGGGTTTTGAAGAAACCTGCACAAGTCAGTCTTTTTCCGAGAAGTTTCTGTTGAGAGGTCACTAATACCTCAGAGTTTGCCAGTGTCAGTTCATCCCAGCCCCTTCATTCCTTCACTCCCAGCAACAGCCATCCTAGTTGCTTGCATCCTCAATCCACATTGATCAGCAGTTAATAAATGCCTGTGATTACTGAAGACCTAGATGTAGTCATTGATCTTACAGTGAGGCAAAATGCTTCCCTGGCATCTCTAAACAAATACACCAGTGTTTTCATGTCTGTACTTGTCTCTTGCTGCAGCTCTTTATTACTGAGTACTCTAAATTACTGTCGTGCCAGGAAGAAGCATTTGTATGCAACAGTGAGTAGTTCTGCAGCATGACCATTCCTTCTAGAGGAAGTAAGCCGTCAAGTTTTGATGTCCGCAGCATGAATTGGATTGCCCTACTATGGATTGAGTCCAAGGCTAACATGCTTCTCTTAGGTCCTATTGATCCTTTAGCATTTTGAGTTCAGGAAACCTCTCTAGATGGGGAAAAAGCAAGTTTCTATAGAGAGAATACAGTTAAATTCTCACTTACTCTGGTAGGTTATTTCTATTTTCATGCTGATTAAGAACTGTAACTATCTTTTTTGATTGTGAGTTGTATGTGCTGTGCATAGGGAAGTGAAGATGTGGCCTTAGATTTGTCACACATTACACGTGACAAATATTTGAACTTTTGAGCTGTTAATTTGTGGGGATTTTTGCACAGAAACAATCCTATGAGACTAAATAACTTTATGTACCATAATCCATAAGATTCTGCCTTTCCTCCTATATCCCTTGTAATCCTGTGTAAGACTTTGTTACCTGAGCTCCCACGTCTGGTACCGCCGTGTACTTTGTATTTTTGTTGTAGTTTTGCTTTAGTTTCAAGACAATGAGAAATGTCATGTTCCTAGTTAGTAGTTTGGTTTCCATGCTGACCCTTTGTAGTCTGAGAGCATCTCTTTGATCATGCATATAGGGAGTCCCCACTTGAACACCATGGGCTACACTCTTGTTGTCAGTGCTAACCAGCCAGATTCATCTGAGTTCTTGCACAGAGCGTTTTACTTTGTGGAGCCCTGAGATCTCAGAACTGTTCATTGAATTAATTGCCTGCCCTGCTACAGTAGGCACAATTTAAAAAATCTATGCCAGATTTCTTTTCTAAAGCTGTTCATTATCTGGTAATGATAAAGTCAGCAGGGGTATTACCTTTTACTGCGTTTCCACTAAATAAAGGACCGATGAATCTTTAAGCTTGGTTTTTCTGAAATCTTGGTTGTCGGTTTTTTTCCCAGGACTTTCCCAAATTGGCATTTTTCCTTTCGGATTTCTTCCCTGAATTATATTCAAAGTAAATGTCCTTCAAAATACAATACTTACCCAAGCTGCAGAGCAGCTGCTGCTGCTCTTAAGTTGCTCTGCAGACCGTTTCACACATGGAACCTTAGGGCATTAACAGTTCCCACAGGTAGCCAGGTTGCTTGGTTAGTCCTGTGTTGTTGTCCCTTACAGCGAGACAGTGATGATGACGATGACGACGATGACCGCAGCAGCGATCGGGAGGATGGGCCCCTGGAAGAGCAGATAGAGCGCCTGCAGGAAAAAGTAGAGTCAGCCCAGAGCGAGCAGAAGAATCTCTTCCTTGTTATCTTCCAGGTGATGGGCACACAGTTCCCACTCCCAATCCCACACGGGATTTATAAGCTTTTGGCGTCATTGGTATCTTGGGCATCTTTTTGGAGTAAGAATATAGGAAAGGGTTGAAGGATTTACTATGGGTTAGAACCAGTCCAGACCATCCCCTTGCAAAGACTGCTTCTGAGCAGGATCTGCTCAGTTTCCAGTGCTTGGGATCAGGGAGTTCTGCTATTGTACAGTTTCCTGAACAACCAGAAGGTAACTAGATTGTAGTTGCTTAAATTCAGTGTTAGCTAAGCAAAATACTTAAAGATAATTATTTTCACATTGCTGTCAAATCCACTGTCCCCTGGATCCTCTTAGCTGAGGTTAGAGTCCCTCTTTCATTTTACAAGAATAAGGTTTGTTTCTTTTCTTTTCCCTCTGATGCAGCGTTTCATTATGCTGTTAACTGAGCACTTGGTGCGCTGCGAGACGGGTGGAATTGACGTGTTCACACCCTGGTACAAGAGTTGTATAGAGAGGTTGCAACAGATCTTCCTACAGGTAGGTGTGTGGAGGGCTGCGGGCTGGGGGGTGCCGATCCAAAAGCGCCATGTCTGGAGCAGTGCGCGGCGCCCGGGAGCAGCAGTAGGTGGCAGTAGCACTCTGCTCTGAAGGCTGGTGTGGGGCAAGGACGTGACTCTGCCTCTGGCCACGTCTCTCACACAGATTGGTGGAGAAACTGGTTCTTGATCAGTTCCCACACTGTCAGCACGCTGCAAAAAGATACCGAGATGTGATTAGGAATTTCGCAGACTTCCTCTTGACTGTGTGTTCATAGTAAGGGCAAAGTGGTGAGCAAACTAGGACGCCAAAATATATGTCTTTTATGTAAGTGGATTAAAGTGTTGCAGAATTCCGCCTAATAAGATGCATAAGTATTTTTCAGAGGTCATTTTTGAATTCTTGGCTCTGTCTTAAATCGGATAGCGAGCACAAGTGGCTGCGTGAAAGTGATAGGAATATAAAATTACACCTGTATGAGCAGCAGAATTCCTGTAGAGGAATGGGATTGGTTTTGTAGTCCCCCTCTGAGCTGAGCCCTTCATGGGTAGTAGGTCTGCCTCCAGTGGAAAGCAAGTATCAAGATTTTCTTAGGAACCTCTGCAGTTGCATGGGATCCTGTGCACAATTCAGGATCCAGGAAAGAAGAGCTACGGTTTGCTCTTCAAAAAGGATTTCCACGATTGCTTTTTTCTCGCAGTCAGTGTGGCTCAGCATCACACTTGCCTTGTCAGTGGCTACTGCACTGTGGAAACGCTTAACAACTTCGATGAAGACATTTGACCTGTGATTCTTACATGTCTTAACCTCTCTGCTTGTTCTTATATAAATACAAATTAAATGTGTTTTGTTTTTTTTTTTATCTGCCAGCATCACCAGATCATCCAGCAATACATGGTTACCCTAGAGAACCTCCTGTTTACAGCTGAACTGGACCACCATATACTGGCCGTGTTTCAGCAGTTCTGTGCTCTGCAGGCTTGAGGATTATTCACGGGCAGAGTCTTGTCTGCAGGACTTTAGTGAATTTAACATTTGGTTTTTTTACATGATAAAACTTGATATGGGGATAGAAAAACTTTTTGACTAAAACTGGCTTTCGTGTGCTCCTATATAAAACAATACAGTACTCTAACCAACAGCAAACTGTGTAAGCATCATAAGCCTTATAAGAGATGGCTGATAGGGGATAGACGTGAAGTATGAATTCTTTTTCTTTGTCTTTTAACTTGGTTTGACTTTTGACTTCATGATAGTATTTTTGTTTCTTCTTTTTTGTTTATATAAAAATCAGGAAAAAAAAGCCAAAAAAAAAGCCCTGATATAAAAGCCCTCGAACAATAGAATTTTTTAGCCTGGCCCTTAAATCATAGGAATTACAGAAATGAGAAACAGTTGATACTGGTTTGTGAGTATGAAAGGAATGCACCTTCTTGGTGAACAGTGTGGTAACTTCTCTAGTATGACACAGAAAAAGTGTCTTAACTTTGGGGATGTGAAACACTTGAGTTTAAGCTTTCAAAGTAGTATAGAGCATTTGGATTTGTTACCGAGCCAGCTAGATTTTCAGTTTGAAAGAACATGGCTGTAATATGGTTTTTTAAAATTTATTATCTAGTGTCTTGTTACAGCAGCTACAAACAAGTGGTAGATGAACTTCATGGGCAGCATCTGAAAAACTCAGTCCTCCTCACGGTGTGGTCAGAGAGTCATAAATTGCTCCTGTCAGGAGTCTTTACTGGTACACAGAGACAGCAAACCAGGGCTGGAGTGGAACGGACTGGTGACTTCTGTGCTTCAGGCCCTACCTGGGTGTTGGGAGGTCCAGCACCCCAGTGCCAGGGCAGCTTCTGGCAGGACCTGCTTCAGCTTCTTCCTGTATTTCAGCCTGTTGGGCTGCCACACTTGCACTAG